CTCCCCCCAGTTTAGTAGCATCAGCAAACTTGCCGAGGGTGCACTCTGTCCCTTCCTCCAGGTCATTGATGAATATATTGAACAAGACTGGGCCCAGGACTGACCCCTGGGGGACACAACTAGACACAGGCCTCCAACTTGACTCTGTGCCATTCACCACAACCCTCGGAGCTCGGCCATCCAGCCAGTTCTCAATCCATCTCACCGTCCACTCATCCAACCCACACTCCCTGAGTTTACCTACGAGGAGGATGTGATGGGAGACAGTGGCCAAAGCCTCGCTGAAGTCCAAGGAGACAACATCCACTGCTCTGCCCTCATCTACCCAGCTAGTCATTCCATCCGAGAAGGCTATCCGATTGGTCAAGCATGATTGCCCTTTGGTGAATCCATGCTGCCTACTCCGCATCACCCTCTTGTCCTCCATATGCTTAGTGAGGACCTCCAGCATGAGCTGTTCCATCACCTTGCCAGGCAGGAAGGGGAGGCTGACAGGCCTGGAGTTTCCTGGCTCCTCCTTCTTGCCCTTTTTGAAGACTGGAGTGACATTGGCTTTCTTCCAGGCCTCAGGCACCTCTCCTGATCTCCAGGACCTTTCTAAGATGATGGAGAGTGGCCTAGCGATAACATCCGCCAGCTCCCTCAGCACTCAGCACTGAGAGCTGCAGTCTGCTTCCATTTTGGATAATAAGCAATATTTTATCATCCCCTCGGCAGTCTTCACAGAACAAGGAATTGAACTCATACAAAAAAGAGGCAGAACATAGTCGCAAACATAGTCGCAAGTGGATATAAGTCCTCTCAGTTCCTCTGTAGCGGTTAGGAACACAGTCCAGTTTTCCAGTAACCTTAAGTAATCCACTGCCTCCCTCAGCACAGGACATTTCTTCAACAGTAAGGAATCAAACTTAAATGTAGCATCCTACACAGACAAGCAAAGCTCCTGGGACAAAGTAACTGGCATCCCACAGTGCATCCATTTTACCCTGCCTTTCAAGGAAGATGGAGGTACTCAAAGCTGTACATGAGGAACAGCTTCACCCCACAGCTTGTGTGAACACAACTATACAGATCACACACCACACATATACAGGTGCTTAGGATGGTTTCTGAAGAGAACAAATACCTCCAATAAAGAGGAAGACCATCAACTCAGTAAACTGCAGAGGAGGCCTCATTAAGCAGGACACCCCTTCCAAAGATCACCTCCCCCACCTCACTTGACTCTTGGCTGAATACTGCTGGTCTGTATCTGAATTAAAGTTTGGAAAGTTTTTCTGCCTCTTAACTCAAGACTGCAAGTGCACAAAGAATTATGGAAGGGATGGCTGACAGACGAAAAAAAAATGCATTCAAAACTACTTACTGACTAATGATGCAGAAAATGTTATGAATAAGTATCCCTTTCTTGATTTATTACTTTAATTATCCGACATTCTATAGACCCCCATTAGTGTGGGGGGGTTGGTTTAGATTTCAATTTTCTGTCTCATGGTGAAAGCTATTTATCATAATAATCAGTAAAATTCAAAACCTTTTAGCAGTATTTATAAAATTCATTTACTATGTTCAGCCCTTGGAGAATGACAAAGAAGGCGCATTAGCACGTGTGCTGAAGTGTTTTATGCAGAATTATCTGTCCATAAGAATGATTAAAAGCTCTTTGTAATATTTGTAATCTATTATACTATTTTTTTGATATAAAAAAGAAAAGTTTTCCTTACCTATACTGTGACTGGAGGCAGGGACTTGCTGATTGGGTGGCTGCTGTACCTTCGTCCGTATGATCCTGCATGCAGTTCAAAAGAAATAAATGACTACTTACTATTAAGCATGCAATTGCCGGATGGCATCAGACACTATTTTTTCGGTTCAGGATACCTAGATCAACACAAAAAAGTCTTTCGGTGTATCATCTGCTTCTCATTTTGAAAGATCAAAACTTTGGCAGGTAAACCTAGGCCTATATTTTTGCCTGCAGCCGATGTTTTCAGTGACGTTTTGATACCTAATTGCTCTAAGTTCCTTGGGTTCCTAAGGGGAGTTTGATACTCCAGTTCTGTTGAGAATTCAGACTTAACTGCTGAGGAAAGAAACACCTATAGCTATTTGGGCACTGTTAGGCCTAACCCTATTACCAGGGAGATGTACGCTTTTAAGTCCAGACATTGCACTAGGTTATTACCTGCATCTTTAGGTGCTTGAATACCTTCGTAAATCTTTCCCTCCCTAAACTACCCCTGGGTATAGTACTCAGACATCTTAGGAACTTAGATACCTCTGAAAAAATTTTTCTTAAACAAATTGATATTAAAATAAAAACATGGTTTGAATGCTAGTCTTAAGAGCTGAGTAACTGCATTATCATTTACTAGGGACAGCCTCTTCTTTGATTTATAATGGCGTAAACCAGGAAAAAAGCAAATATCTAGATAAATAAAAGAGAAGGCATGTATTGTGTTATAGGAAGAGGGGTGGTTGTTAAAAATAGCCACAGAGGTGTTCTGTCAAGTGTTCACCTGCCAATGTACAGTTAACAAGGAAAAGATAAGGTCTGAAATGCTTCTAGAGATTAAATAGTTTTGCCACAGACTGCTGTGGAAGCAAGATGGGTTTATGCTTTGAATGAAACATGCTCTTTACTCAAATCACATATCTCTGCTTTATGCACTTTTTATGCAGTGGTAATGACATGGTAAGCATTTCTCCTGTGTTTATCTAACACGCTCTTTTCCCATTTCTGCCTACCTTAAATTTTGGAGTGGAGCACAGCACAGCAGAGTGCTGAGGAGAGGAGAGGAGAGGAGAGGAGAGGAGAGGAGAGGAGAGGGACTGTGGGGATGGATCTAGCATGTAAATGCACTCACATACAAAAATTACTACTTGCTTAAAAGGTATATTGTAAGCCTGTACAGGAACAAGTAGCATCTTATCCCCATCCCAGAATGACTCCCTGTCAGCCTTCTTCTTCCCATCCTGCTATGGCGTGTACTGGTGGTGCGGAAGGGGTCAGGTCTGCAAACAAGTCAGTATTTGATTGTTAGCACCAAAGTGAAACTGCTAGGAGTCAGCCATCTTCAAATTCCTTGGTAACTGAGTCCTTAGTTTCTTTTTTCTCTACAATGGGCAGAAGCAGCCAAGCAGCAGGCCAGCTCCGGAGTCAGAAGGAGTTGTGGAAGCAGCTTCAGTGGGGGAGAGGACACAGTTGAAGATGAGCTAGGACTATGTATGGACAAGGTTGGGAACAGCACCCTGCATAAGGCTTCCTCCCTGTCATAGTGAAGGAAGGGTATTTGGGGCCTCCTGACACATAAATATCTTCATCTCTGGCGGGATGGAGGACAAGAGTGCTTTGAAACACCTGGGCAGCTCTTAGCTTATTTGAGGAAAGCTAGTTGCAATGATTAATTAAGCCTTAATCACACAGAGTTGCTCCTGCTGCGAAAGAGTGGCCTATTATTAATATTAATGTTATTAATGAATAATAATAGCAATTATTCATATAGGGGGGCAGCAGCTCAAATTCGTCTGCTAGAATGCATACTCCTTAATGGGGATGTGCTACACATAGTTTATCATAGCGGCTTTATAGCATGCTGCCCCAGCCCTTCAGCTCTCTAACAATCACGACAACTCTCCTCCTGAAGACGACCGCAAGACAATAACATAGCGGCGCTATGGCTCTGTCCATCCCACTGTCTGTACCACAGGCAGATTATGCAGCCATGTTACCTACAAGAATCCCGTTGAATGACTTCTGATGGGGGTTCAAGCCTATGAGTGAGGCAATATCTGAGTTGCACTGCAGTGCTGATAAAGACCCATTTACACAAAGGACCTTTGCAGAAAGGACATCAGCAAATAGAGTTTAAGTCGGATTGAACTAAGGATTCAGGCTCCTGTGGGGCAGGCACTTCAGAGCATTCAGACACCCAGAGATTCCCAACAGGCACTTGCATGCACATATTTCAAAAGCCTGCAAGGCTTGTAATAGACAGCATGAGACGGTCGGAATCTCTGTACCTTTCGGGATCTGGCCAGGAAACCTGCTGAATATCTTCCTGTTGCTTACTGCAGAAATCCTCCAGGTCTGCTGCAAGTGTCAAAGCCACTAGAAACACATCTTACATGTCTTGAAAATGTGTTTTGGAAAATGCCAGCTGCGCTGCTGTTTGTATGCAGATTTATGCATTCAGGAGTAGAATGCCTCTGAAAGCACATTCCCTTTGCACCTTGCCATGCTACTCTAGGCTTGGGCTAAGGTATTCTGCTAATCCTGCTGGCTGCTGTGCCTTGTCTCTCTAGTAGTATTCACTGAGGGCTAAAGAAAAAAAGAAACCACCTCATAAAACATTAAGCTTCACCCACGCCTGAAAGTTTGTGGATATACAGCCATCTCTGCGCATACACACCATTCTGTCTTCTCTCCTCCAAGGCTGCATCTAGGCGGCCAGAAAATATGTTACATATGAAATTTCACCTCTCCTCCTGTCCTCCAAGGCCGTCGACTGTCTTGCCATTGACCAATGTGCTCTAATTCTGCCAGTCTTTCGTGCCTTGAGATTAAAGGTATGCATCCTTAACATGTAATATCCACATCAATAAAGCTTTGAAACATATACTCACTTTAAATATGAGGATAAATCCCACAGACTACACCATGGAATAGGGAGAGTTTAGAATTAAAGCCTAGTGTTTCGATGTGAATTCCAGGCATACTGTCATAACAGTTTGTTTTGGGTTTGCAGGATGCGCTCACAGGTTGGTGAAAACAATTCTCTGAGTAAACAAACTAACTCAGAAAGATCGTGTGTATTTTGAAAGGGGTTTCACACCTTTAAGAAAAGGGAAAGATCTTAGCCACAGTCACAAGAAGGTGAGAAAGAATGAGATTTCCGGCCAAAGAACTTGGTTGCAGATCACAGAACAGGTTTGCGATGCAACGGCAGTGACTGTGTGGACGTTATCAGAAACACGGAAACATCCAAGAACAGAGCAAGAGGTAGAGTATGAAAAATGCTAAGAGCCAGTGGAATCTATTTAGTCTCTCAGCTTCCTAGAGCTGTGACTACCTTTTTGAGAGGTTTTTGGACGATGCCTGAAGCCCTACTACACAAACACAGCAGTGCTCGTGGCAGCAACAATACTTCTCACATGACAGGACTTGAGCTGTTTTTGATGGGAATGGAGTTGGCCTGTAGTTATCTGAGGACAGTTCTTACTAGAATTTTCTTCAGTTTTCCTGGTTTCCATATTATATTATCAAACAAACCATTTCTAACATTAAATTGCAACATCCACGGGGTTATTGGTTGCCGCCTTGGATTCGAAGCTAGTTACAAACTTGCAGGCAGTACTAAAAGCTGTGAGTGACCTAACCTATTCTTGCACTTATCCATGCAAATATATGACTCTGCATTCAGGCCAGCAAGATAGAGCCAGCATTCTTAGCTAACACTGTGGAAGTCTCTCCTGCTATTCAAGTGACAATTCCATTCATGCAAATCTGGCTGAGATAGACAATAAAATAATATTACATCTGTTTATTTCATGTCCACAGACACACACTGGACTGCATAGTTTCATTCAAAGAACTGGCATGAAATGGCAGAAGTGAAAACCATCTCACCGGACTGTTGAGACTGAAGTCCTGTATAGAGAATACACCTGAAACAAAAGGAAGACACGCTGCTTGCCAGGGGTCATGGGTGTGCAAGGGGCTATCCGAGCACTCAGTCTTCCAAGTATTTAGCACTTATTGTTAGCCTGGGAAGGCTGAAAGCCTAACAGACTGTTTCATCGCGTATTTCTCAGCACCAGCAATGGAAATCATTTGGCCTGTGATGTGGGCTCGTACACATGCCATCAAGAGAGTGAATTTGGTCTTCCTAAACAGTTTAAGTGACATGGAAGTAGGTAGAACACTGAAAGAAACCAAAGTAATTGCAGACTTCTATGTGAACCAGGCCTGCTTAGGAAAGTCAGGGCAAAACTCACAAATGCAGGGTTGAGGCTCCTGATGAGATTCTCTCACATTTTTACAAAAGCAATTCAAGGCCACGTAAGTGTATCCATTTAACAAACAGATGACTGGGGCAGCTGGAAGCTACTGACCAAATTCCACTAGTTATATTCATGGTAAATCCTACCAGACACCAGTCTACATGATTCTGGGTCACTTTCAGTAATATTCAGTAAAAGGCAGGAAACAGAAGTGCCACCCTGAGATCTGTTTTCAAGCCCCTTCCCCAGACAACTGAACTGCAGCCTTTTTCTACATCACCAGTAGCCCCAGTTTCTGAAGTTTCAGCTTTCCCCCTAGATAAAGAACTTCCCAGGGGATCCCTACCCAGTCCAGGTCTCAGTCCAAAACTGAGACCTAATTCAGATCAAATAAGCCAGGATCTTTGCCAGCAAAGACTGGAAGTCTCAGACTGGAGAATGGCAAAAAATGGGAAAGAATCAGAGGATGAGAGTTTACTCTACCCACTCCTAGGAACTGTTCATAATTTGTGATGCTTTTACCACTAAGGCGAGCTCGTGGCTGCTCCTAAGCCCCAAACACATTATGGAAGCACAAGCTCACTGCATTTCTTGAAGATGACCTCAAACATCTAGTTCCTCTAACAAATGAAGATGCAGTGTTACCACTTCCTAGGAAATTCCTTTCTCAAGAACGTGCAAATTTTTACCTGTTAATTGAGCTGACGCTGGGCACGGTGTCATTGTCACACACTCGCTCGGCTAGAAGTCTATCCCTGATCTCCCATGCAAACATGGTAGGATTTTGGCGTTTGTACTCTGCAATTTTTTCAACGACTTTGGGTGTGGCGACCTTTGGTTTTGATCCTCCAATCACTCCAGGCTTAATACTACCAGTTTCGTAATACCTGGGACAACATCCAAAACAAAGCTTTAGTTATCACAAATGGACAGAGAACGTGCTTTGAGATTTATAGAGAACACAGTTTCAAGGTAACCAGTCCTAAGATACATCTTCACTTTCAGATACACATTTTCTGCGTATGTCATGCTTTATCACCTAATAAATTAACTTATAGTAATTGGAATTGGGCCTCAGGGTAGAATAAATATTTTTCTGTAATAGCAAGACAATAGAAATAATGCCAGATTAAAGGGCATGCCGGGATCCAAAATTGACTGAAAATGTGTGTTATTAATCAGAGCTACTGGCAATAATAGAAACAAATCACACCAAAAAACATTTTTCGCAGTGGACTCTTTTGCACTAAATTACTGTTTCTAAAGAAATTCTCCATCATTTACATATACAACTTATTATCACTTCATAGCAGAATGAAGGCTACATATAGTATTTGCACTTTCAAAATAAATATATCAACATATCTTTTTCTCAAAATGTGGTTTAATATCAGATGTTTCAATCACACTTTGTAGGGAGTGAGAACTGTTTAGGTCCTGGAAGGCTACAGTCGATTTTAGGGATGGTTTATCTGGTCAGTCCCCAAAATCTTGTCTCACACATATGATCTTTATACACACAAACTGGTGTCATGCCAGGAAAGGTGGTAGGATTGGACCCATAAACTGACTGAAACCTAAAAGTCTTCCTGATTTCTTGCTCATGTAATCAGGCAAGTGCAACGGTTTTTGGTAGATCTGCAACAACACGTGCTGAGATCCCCAGCTCAGCTGATTCCCCTCTTTTAATAAATAAAGCCTTGAAAATGCTGCTGAAAATAGAATTCATATCATGTCCACTGAGGACCAGAAAGAAAAACAAGAAAAAAATCATGCTCCTCTCTGCTGAGCTTTCAGGGAGCGCAGCACACAAGGACATGCACTTCTTTGTATCTTGTGAATTTTTACAAGCAGATGAAAAATAAACCCTGTGCCTACCTGCAGTAAGGCAAGTACCTTCATCCCTAACCACTGCAGTCCAGCAAGTCCTTTCCATATATAGCACATGTTGACTTCATGAACATTTAAACCAGACAGACCTGACTAGCCGTACTCTTTTAACAGCTTAAACATGTCAATTGATTACTCACTCTCTATGTTTTGAGAAAGGAGCTTAGAAAATACTCCCAAATAAAAGCATAAGCTTGCTTATTAACATAATTTCTTGACATCTACAGTATACGAAAAAAAATTTTTTAATTCCGTGATCTTTCCAGTGTGAGGAGAGCACAAACAAGCTGTAAAACTGAAGTCTGTCTCACTATAACATGCAACTACGTGCATCAAATTTCTGCCAGGTTACTGTTTTTTTATTCTTTCTTAGAGACCTCTGTATGCAGGGTCTAAAATTCCTTTAAAGAGAGCGACACCATGTTATTGGTACCTGTTTGGATGCAGGTCTGGACTCGTGTCTGTTTGTCTCCATAGAGCCAATTAATAGAAAGTGACAGTGTCAAAGATGGATTAACCCTTCTTTTCTCCACAAACTCAGCCTAGAAACGAGCCACAGGGCAGAGCGGTAAAATTTTGCTTCTCCCATGCTATGTTTCCTAAGGCCATAACAAAATGATGGCAAGTTTGTACAACAAACCTACTAAAACCTTGCCTCTCTGGTCTCGTAAGCTTTGCTGGTGGCTTCTCTCCTGTGAGGAAGGGTATAGACGAAGGCTACCGAAACAAAAAGTTGTAGTTTTCTTAGCTTCAGTCAAAACCAGCAGATGTTACAAGCAGTCCTTTGTTGGGGTTTTTTGCAGCACTGCCTTTCTGCAACTCAATGTGTTGCCCCCTTGGCTCACTTCCTTGTCAATGCAGGATAAGCCAGCGGATAAGAAAATCAGCTACTAACAGATTTGGAAAGCACTGACTGGACAAAAAAGACCCTGTTTCTCATGGCTAACTCTGCCAAGGTTTGGTAAGCAGTCAAGGGAAAGGCCTGGACCTCCAAAGGCACAGAAGGATTGCACTGCTTGCTACTAGCTCACTAAGGATCCAGTGTCAGCTTGCAGAAATCACTCAGCTGTGTCAGCTTAATGAAACATCAGTGCAACCAAGGAATGAAAGCCCTTGGTGAACTCTGGAGAGCAAGACCTTCATTCCCAAATCTTCTAACCACTAATCGGGTACATATCCATGCACTTTTACTGATCTGAGCCCAGCAAAAGTCTATACACTTTAATAGAAATATTCACAGTGAATGGGAGGGTGCAGCACCTTTTCCCTGGGGCATCGGGAGAGCTTGTAAGCAACATGGGACAGTTAATGCCCAGTGAAACCTACAGCAATCCCTTTCCTATTCACCCTAACAGTTAACCTGCGGAGTAGCCTAAAGTAACTACAGGCTACAGAAAGCTACAATCTCTGGCTCCCAGCTCCATTTTAAAGACAAGGTCAGCTGCAATAGAATTCATTTTATGAAAATTAGGTCCAGGCCTTTTATTCCCAGCAAGCTGCCAATGCAGGTGAATAGCAGGCATCCCTGCAGCACTCTCCTATGAAACAGTGATGGCAACCAGACAGTTCTCTACATTTGGCGTGGCAGATACAGCTTGCAATGGATCATCACTTAGTTGCTTTTAAGCCTGTGTTAAAGACTAGTAGATCAAAAAACTGGAATCATAAAATTTCAAATGTAAAGATTCTTCTTAGCAATTCCTGGTTTTGTTTTTCAAACATACACACACATATGCATGCACAGCTCCACTTATGGTGACATTTTACCCACTATAATTACTAGTTATGAAAATAATGAGCTATGAAATTCTTATTTATTGTTGGCAATTTAAATGACAACGATCCGGAGCTTCCCTTTTAGCTCCATAATGCAAATATATCTAATGATAAATCTATTCAAACTAGGAAAAGTAAAACCCACATTTCACTGTGAGGTAAGTAAATTGCTTGTTTCCTAGCTTTACGTTGGTCCTGATAGGAATTGTTGGTAAGTCTACTGCAGTGGAGGGTGTCACAGATAGAATTATTACCGGTCACTTTGGGGATTAGGACCCTGTACTGAGAGCAGACACAAAGATACAATAGAGTGATATAGCCTGTGATGGGCAGGCAGGTCTCAAACAAAACATATGGAAAGTTTTTCTCTCAGAAAGAGTAAAGACTTCGGTGTTCTTAAACCTACGCCAAGGTAAAATCAGAAAGACTGCTCATAACTTCCACAGGCTGCATCTCCGTACAGCTAATGCGTAAGAGGAAAAGCTGGGATACCCTGCGTAACCCGAACACTTATTCAGGCGGCTTTCTAAAAGCACACTCTTCAGAACTGCAGAGAGGTGTTTGCCAGTTTAGATGGTCAGAGACAACAGGGTTTGTGGGCCGCAGGGAGAAGAATGCCAAGGTCTATGAAAAGGGCCTGTGACTTTGCCAAGTGAGTTTCATTCTGAACATGTAACTTGCCGCTGGAAGATCACAAACGCTGCTAACCCAGGACAGATCCCATGCACGCTACTGCACGAGTATCTGCTCTAATAGCCTTTACAACCATGCTATGCTACGACTGATTAAAAAAATAGGTTAAAAATGAATTGAACTGTTGAAGTTTGGTAAATATTTGAGGAATAAGCTTTTCCAAACTATCAGTAAAAAATATTATTAAAAAAAAAAATGTTCCTTTATATGGTATGCTGAAGCATGGACCTGAAGTCCAAAGCATTTTAATACAGTAATTAAAACAAATGATGTTCACTTTTGTCCACATGACACAAAGAAGTAAAGATGATATTTTTTGCCTGAATCTAATTCAAAGTTTAAAAAGAAATCAGGAAGTGTCTAGAATTCTAAGTTTAATTTGCTTTTGCTCTACTGTTTTGAGCAGCTCCTTTCCCAACAAATAACTACTTTCAAAATAGCCAAATTTACGGTAGGTAATAACTGATTAGGGCATTCCAGGTTTTAACTAAGCGCATATTCCATCATAAGAGTAAAAAAAAAAAAAATGAAATAAAACAACATGATAAATTTCAAAATAGCCAGCATAAACGAACGCACAACAATACTCATGAAATACCTAACAATATAATATGCTAAAAGAAGGTGTTCTTCAGAAAGCATAAGGAGTAACCTTCAATAAATGGTTCGTAACATCTTTTTTTTTCGTTTTACTGGCACAGATGAGGCACAGATTTCTCTATGTGTTCAGAACAGACAGGTGCAGAATATATACCACTTATATAACAAATGCACTACATGTGGCATTTTGTACTTTGCTTTGGAGTTACCTGCAAGAAACTGTGAAAGGGGTGAAATAAACGTTCAAATAGTTGCACTTTTTTCTTGTATCATGCATACAAAATCACGAGGAAATCAATGGCAAGGAACACTGTATCATGGCTAGACTGATTTCCTGAGATTTTTATTATTTTCTGTTTGATTTGTCCCTGTTTTACAGCCTGTGAGTAAGGGAAAGGCATTGATTTTTTTTTTGTAATAGACATAGAAAGATTTGTTGTTGTCCCCTTACCTGCCAAGTATTTTGCTGACACAGCCATGGCTGACCCGCAGCTGCCTGGAGATGTCACAAGGCCTGACCCCTTGGTGAGCAAGTTCCACGATCCTTTGGCGAACAACATCTGGAAGGGGGCGACCATTCACAAAAACACCCCCTAACTGATTCACTCCTCCATGTCCTGAAACACATAGGGGCAGGGGGAAAAGGGTAGAGAAAAACAACTTTGTGATAGTTGGATGACATTTCTCCATAGCAATCCTATTTAGTCACAATATTCTCCAGTGTCGGGGCTCAATCCTCCAAGATTCTGATTACTCTGTAGTTATTTGTTACCATGAACTGCTGAAATCACAAAAATGGAGGGAATCGGGGCTGTGCTTTCGTCTGACTGTAATTTCGTACTGCTGCAATGCTACTCACTGAAGAAGAGCCTCCTGCCTGAAGGCAAATTGAGCCCCTTGCTTGAAAAAGGACCATTTGAAACCATACATTTATGTCCAGATCTGCCAGGCAAGGGTCATGTTTCTTTCAAATCCAATGACCAATTTTGCCTGAGTAAGGACTTCCTGATTAGGCCTGGTGACTGCCTAGTGGGGAAGAGGCTTACCATCAGCTCTGACTAGAAAGCCAAAGAAAAATAAAGCTAGGTGATCACTCTGTGTTAATCTATTCATATCTAAGCAGAAAAAAAGGTTACCTGAATTTAAACAAGCATTTGTTCTTGTTTTTTCCCCCAAAAGACCTAATTTAATCAAGAGCAAAAAGCAGAGAATGATTTCTGCTCTTACAATTTACAGCAGTATTGGCAGATATTATGATCCCACAAATGAAATGTGAACACTCAGCCAAGCCCAATATATTATTCCTTTTCTAGCAGATTTGCACTGTTCACCTTTAGCAAGGTGAATCATATATCTGGTGGGAAGCAGGACCCAGTTAGATGAATAGTAGTGAAACTGTGTAAAACCAATGGACATGTAATAATCCCGTGTAACAAGTGAGAAAATATAATTAAACATCATGTTGTTAATCATCCAAACTACTTAGATTGCAGAGGAGCAGAGAAATTGAAAACAAGCAATAGGGGCAGGCAGCACAGACAACAACACTGAAACAAAAATAATAAGGAAAATTTATCTATTTACACAGGACTTAAACCGTACAGAATAAGCTGGCAAGTTAAATGCCTCAATGTTAAGAAAAGATTATGTACAGCTACTTTTATTTAAATGTGGTCATTTCAGCCTCGATAAAGTGCTGTTAAACTTTGTAAACACCTTCTAAAACTGTCAGGACCCATAATGAATCCACATTAAATAGCTGATTGCTAAAGCCAGTTAAGGCCTGCAAGTTCAAGACCTTTGTTAGTTTTAGGAGCAGATCTTTCCCAACAGCAAGGCATCGGTTTCAAGGCATCTGTCCTGCAAACACAAGTTTGTTCTGAGCACACCAAGCGTAGCTGGCGGCTGCACCTAGTGATGCAAAAGTAAAACACAGTGCTGCTCCGCATGCTGAAATGATTTTAAGGCCAGAGAGGGAAGAAAACTCTGCGAGTGATTAATACTAAAAACATAGGACCAATGCCACAAAGGTAGAGTGAACAAGACCTCGGCCTTTTCACCCTTTAGCAGCTTTAATTATATTAAATCATGAACAGAGCGTTTAATATGAATGACAACATTCTGTACGCCTTTTTTTTTTTTCAGAGTAAGAGAAGGGAAAAGGAAGGTGGAAACCAGGAAGGAAGGAAGAAAATGAAGGATAGAAAGAAAGAAGTGAGGAAGGAAGAAAAGAGGCGAGGAAGGAAGGGGAAAAAGGAGAGAAAAAGAAAAAGAAAAAGAAAAATGAAATACATTCTCTTGGACGAAAGGGTTGATTCTCTGCTCCTGATCCGATACCCCGGCCCAAGCGAGGTCTGAAAAGGCTATATCGCTCCCGAGCGCAGCCGGAGAAGGAAACAAAGGCTCCCGGGCCGCCCGGTTGCGGC